CTTTAATGGGGATTGCATTAAAATTATATATTGCTTTGGGTAGTATGGACATTTTAACAATGTTGATTCTTCCCAGCCATGAGCATGGGCATACCCCTTTTCTAGAATAGTGTTGAATATGTTGATGTTCAATGAATGGTATTTTGTGGTATAGAGAATTTTTCAAACATTTTGTCAAATGAAATCTTAAATCTTAAGGGGGCTAGTAACACTCCCAATTTAATGGTGAAGAAGTTGAAACTCCTGATTATTTAACCATTGAGTGAATAAAATCCCATTGGAGTTTTGTTTCTGATTCCTCTGGGTGTTTGTTTTACATGGGGATATGGATATTAGATAGTTCTTCTTATTGTAATCCATTTGTTTGCCTGTTCTTTTCTCCTAATTTTCTTTTAATTGTGCAGTCCCACAACAATGTAATCCCACATTAATATTTACCTTAAACTTCTCCTCCTGGTTAACTGCTTTATAAGGAAAATTGTTCTGAAGTTTTGATGCTTTTACTGTTAGTATGTTACAAGTTACTATTATAGCCAGATATCTAAGGATACTTCTAAGAACTATAATACTGACTCATGTTAAGTCTGGTTAACACACTTTTTTCATAGGAAATACAGGGTCATCTTAAAAACTTTGGAATTATGGTAAAAGGTATCTTTTAATGGTGAGCTTGGATTGTTCCTTTGTATTTTCATCAGGTTTCTGTTTTATATTATTTACCACTCAGTGCAGCTCACATGTTTTTCTTCCAACAAATGATTACATTTTTGGATTTTTGGTTGTTTTACTTTACTTTGTATCAAGATACAAGCCATCAAGTAGCTTTTGCTGTAGAGATTTAATGAAGATGGAGGGAGAATGGGCATTAGAATGAACAGAAAGACTTGCTGTTTTATGACCAACAGTGCTATAACTAAAATGGAGGTATTTTTTCTACAAGCTTAGCAACTCAAGAATAAAATGATGTATGAATTATATAGGTATTAAACTGTCAGAAATACCATATAGGTAAGGCTGTTCTTTTGTCTCATCATGAGACCTCCTGCCTGTCCCTTCTCTCCCCATTTCCTGCTTTATACCCTTGTCCCTCTTCCCCTTTCTTCTTTCTAGTGGCTAAGATTTCTTTCTCCTTTTATATTTTGCACCTTCTTTGTCATCAGTGCTCTTTCTTACTTGAATGGTTCTTAATAATACATCTTTTAAACTCTTTAAAGGTAATAAGCACTGAGTCAGGCACTATTTTAAGCAATTTATAAATTAATTTACTCCTCATAGCAGTCCTGTGAAGTTATTCCATTTTACAAATGAAGAGACTAGGCACATATAATGGAAGAGGTAAGATGAATCAAAAGGGTTTGATGCTAGAGTTCATGTAGTTTATCACTACACTATGCTACTTTCTAACCATGGATTTAATAGCCATTGTGATAGTGATTTGACAGTATTCACTGAGGCAGAAATAATTAGCTTATACATTAGTACAGGATATCTTCAATATCTTGATGCCTATTTTAATGGTATATATTTTAGTGACCAATAAATGTTATAGTCTCTAAATAAAAACAATTTGTTTTATGGCTATAAGCAAATACTTTAACGGAAAATTGCACCTTAGACTCACCTGCTAAAATTGTCTTTATCAATATGTGTTTTATTTATTTATTTATTTTATTGTTGGGGATTCATTGAGGATACAAGAAACCAGGTTACACTGATAGCGTTTGTTAGGTAAAGTTCCTCTTATAATTGAGTCTTGCCCCTAACAATACGTGTTTTATTAATACCAGAGATTGTTACATTTTAAAAGTCTTCTTTGGTATATACCTCATATGTTTATCTGTGCCTTTATATTGTTTTGTCTGTTAGGTTGGTTATTAAAGCTACATATTAAACTATATAGATTACTATATAGTTCTAGCAATGAGGTAGCCTGAGAACGTGGAGTTAAACTTTTTACCACCTCTAGAATTCTCACATTTGATTGTGTTTGTGGGTTGAGGCATTGTATTGAAGTTTTTAAGGACTTTAGTTTTATGGGGTCATCTAGAATTCAGTCCCCATATTAGCTTTGTTATTTACTACTTGTAGATCCTTGGGAAAATTCTTACCATATCCTTGCTCAAGTCTACTTATTTATAAAATGAGGAATAGTACTGTTTAATGTTAATAAGCCCATGGGATGGCTATGAAAATTAGATAAGTACAGTGCATAGCAAAGTGCCTCTCGCAGAATGATCCCCATATAACGATAACTCCTATTTTTATTAATCCTGTTAATGTTCTGTTGTACTTAAATGCATTGACTTTTCTTTGATGAATTAATACCACATTTTTCCTTATTATTTCTCTCCAATCTGAAATGTTCCTGAAATTTTCTTGGGTGACTTACTTTGGAACTTTGTTTCTTAGATTACAAGGTTCTTTGAGAGTCTGATTAAAGCTTTGCTTCGTTTACCCAGAAAAATGTACTGAAAACAGTATTTTCAGTTTTTATATTCAGATACACACTCTAACTTTGATCAGGTTAAATCGTATCTTTTAAAAATGATTATACTTTGTCTCTTTAAAGTTTCATTCTTACATTGTATCATCTTTAGCCAAAAGCTATACATTTGATAGCTCTTTTAAGGATCTTGTTTGATATGATTTCCCAAATTTATCAATTAATGCTTTATGAATTAAATATACCTAAAATTGTATTGTTTTGCACACCAGAAAAGATACATTTTCCTCTTTTGGATATTGCACTACTCATTTGTTATTTTTATTCTATCATTTTTCACTGGAGTCATATGGAATGTAGACATTATGGAAGGTAGTAAGATTTTTGTGGTTGTATGTGTCATTCTTCAAACGCAAATTACTGTTTCAGAAACGATTTTGACTGGGCCTACTTCACCTTTACCCTCTCCTGGGAATGGGAGTGAAGCTACACCTGGATCAGTTACACAGCCAAAGAAAATTCGAGGAGTTGGATTTGGAGATATTTTTAAAGAAGGCTCTGTGAAACTTAGGACAAGAACATCCAGTAGTGAAACAGAAGAGAAAAAATCAGAAAAGGTAGTAATGAAGACTTTAACTTAGAATGACTCTCCTTGTTCTCATTAAGCATTTTTAAAATGTAAAAAAGTTTGCAACTGTCATACATTTTCTTTTTTGAGATCAATTAGTAATTTGTTATGAATGATAAGGCTGTGAGAAATAGTTTTCTGTCCACATTTACAGTGATTAATGTTTGTCATCAAATTGTATAAAATTAAGAATGCTTGTCCCGATAAATCTAACATCACCTTTTCTTATTAGGAGGTTTAGTGTTTTAGTTATCACATTGTAAACAAAGAAGGGGAGGTGTTTTGGGTTTTTTTTTTTTTTTTGCTCTTTTTTTAAGCTAAAATTTTACATTTTTTCTTTTAATTCGAAGTAGATCTAAAATGGTCTGTTTTAAAATGAATTAACAAGATATTAAGTTACTTAGGCACTATTTAACTTTCCTCTATATTGTCAGTAATGGTTGAATTTACTAATCTCCCTCTTAATGTACATACAATTTTATTTTTTATTAGTATGTTATTTATAATGTGAAATGAAACAAAGTGAATTATAAATTGTAAGATCTAATAAGAGGCTTTAAAATAAAACCTTATGATTTTATTTTGGTGGTAAAATAGCTGTAGTCTCATTTGGACATTTTTTTGTAATTGTTCTAGTATCAGTTCTGTAGGGATTTAGACTATTTACTTCAGAGAGGCGGCTCTTCCCTTGGCTTTCAGGGTATAGTTTACACCACAGTTCTCCTTTGTCCCTTTTTTTTTTTTTTTTTGTAGAGACAGAGTCTCACTTTGTCACCCTCGGTAGAGTGCCGTGGTGTCACACAGCTCACAGCAACCTCCAACTCCTGGGCATAGGTGGTTCTCTTGCCTCAGCCTCCCGAGTAGCTGGGACCACAGGTGCCCGCCACAACACCCAGCTACTTTTCTGTTGCAGTTCAGCTGGGACTGGGCTTGAACCCACCACCCTCGGTATATGGGGCTGGTGTCTACCCATTGAACCACAGGCGCCACCCTCCTTTGTCCCTTTTAACTCTTAAGAGCTTAAAATATTTTAGTACTTATATGCTTAGTTTAGCTACATTTCATTTATAGCCAGTGTTTTGGTTAGTGAAATATATTCTGGAATTTGGAATTTCCTTCTGAGGTTGGTGGTTTTAGTCTCCTCCACCCCACCTTATTACATATTTTCTATGTAATAGGCCAGGAGTTGGGTTCTAGGAAGAAAACTTTCACTGTCTACACATTTCTAGCTCTAAGGCTGTCTGGGTTTAAGATTATGGGGACTATGACTCTTTCTTTCTTTTCTTTTCCTTCCCTCCCTCCTTCCCTTCCTCCCATTGTCCCTTCTTCCTTTCCTTTTTTCCCTCAATTTTTCCCTTCCTCCTTCCTTCCATTCCACCTTCTCTCCCTCCCGGCCTACAGTGCTGTGGTGTCAGCCTAACTTGTAACATTTTGCATTCCTGGGCTCAAGTGACCCTCTTGCCTCAGCTCTCTTCCTAAATAGCTGGGACTATACGCACCTTTCACAATGCCCAATGCCCGACTAATTTGTTTTTCTTTTAGTAGAGATGAGGTTTCGCTCTTGCTCAGGCTGGTCTCAAACTCCTGAGCTTAGGCAATCCTCCCATCTCAGCTTCTCATAGTATTAGGACTACAGGCGTGACCCTTGCACCTGGCCCCAATTGATTCATGTAAAGGTAGAAACTAGAATTTTCATGGTGTTTGGAATGGTGCGCTATAGCCATGTAATCACTAGGAATGTTAAAGAAACAATTCTTGTAGTACTAAGAAAGACAGACATTAGACTTGTGCCACCTCCAAATCTAAAGCTTATAATTCTATTAAATAACTTTATTTGATTAATGATTCTATTAGTAATCTTTCAGTCATAACTTACAGTGTCTGCTACTCAGAGTTGTTGTTAGTGAAAACAGTCTCAGAGTTACCTTTGTGATGCTTGCATTGATCACTGATCTAAGAACTGATAGAGTAAGGAGCATGTCCTATATCTGTGTGTGACACCAGATTAGAAGATTTGGTTAGAATTGGGGGAAATTAAAGTGAGTATATTAGAAAAGAAATAGAAAACACAGTGGTAAGTAAAATTAGCAGCGTGTTCAGATTTTTAATGAAGTCTGGGGTCAAGTGAACTGTTGTTTCTGGGGAGAGAACTCATGGAAGTAGTGGTATAAGTTAGATGGTAGGACTTGAAGTCAATTAACATGGAAAAATGTCTAGTACACTAGTTAAAATGGTTGTAACATTATATCAATGTTTTCCTTTACATAAAAATGAAGTATAAAGAGGATTTTTTCCCCTGTTCTTTCTCTTTTTAGGGTTAAGTTTGGTGTTATTAAGAGCCCACTTTCTGGAATCAGATGTTCTAAGTTCAAATGTGGAATCTACTACTAAATTACTGTTATTGTGGGCACATAATTGCTTTCTAATTTATAAAAGTGTGAATAATAATGCCTACTTTATGCAGATATTCAAGGGATAGTTATAATGTAAATAAAGTGTTTAACTCAGATTGGCATATAGTAAATTCTCAAATGCCATTATTCTTACTTTAGAGATTGTAAAATTAAATCACAAGAATGTATTATGGGCATCAGAGTCTGTTTATTATCTTTAAGATAAGGAGATTTAAAAAAATTAGTAGTTCTGAGTTATCATTTAAGGAACTTTTGAATCTTTTATCATTTTCATTGCTGAGTTTTTAGTCACATCAGTAACCTAGCAGTTACAAAAAGCTGGATAACTATAGATGGAAACTTTATAATATTATTTTATTCAATATAGTTAATGCCAGCCATCTTTTTCTATTATAGCCATTAATCACACAGTCATTAGGATCCAAAACTCAGAGTGTGGAAATAGCAAAAACAGACACTGAAGGTAAAATTAAAGGTAAGTTTTTGAATAAAGAAAAAAATTGAAACATAACTCACATGTATTATTAGACTTGTTGAAGGCATTTGTTACAATGTACTGCTTGACCAGAATATTAAATACTATATATCTAAGCATCATGAGGTTAAGTCCTTTGGTATACTTGTGTTCATTGATGTATCCTCTTGCAGTTAGGACTGTGCCTAGAACGTAGCAGGCGCTTAATAAATATTTTAATGAATAATAAATGCCATTGTTACTTCACATACAGTATTGACTATAAGTTAAATTTTAAAATTTAAAGATGAATTATCAAGTTGAATTAAGTTGAATAACTTCTAGTGTATATTGTACAAAACAGAGGCTTTTAAGTGTTTATTGAATGAGTCAATTTGTATAATTCACATTATTTACACATGCTTTATTTCAGCTAAGGAATACTGTAGAACATTATTTGCATATGAAGGTACTAATGAAGATGAACTTACTTTTAAAGAGGGGGAGATAATTCATTTGATAAGTAAGGTAAGATAATTTCTTAACTTCTCAGTGAATTATTTATAGAAATTGTTTTAAAAAATTCTTTATTTCCCCCTAGAATATAACCTCTAGAAACCCTGGGACTTTACCTTGTTTCTGACTCCTGAGAACTCTGCACATAATAAATACTCACAAAGTTTCTTCTTCTTTTTTTTTTAAAGCTAACTTTTATTGTATATTTGTTATAATTGATAAATTAGGAATTATTTTTAGCCATTATACTGTTTTTTTCCTCTACTAACCCCATTTTCACAGATTTCTGTCTCACTTCTGTTCTGCCTCATTTCACCCCTCTCCCTTCCATGTACTGTGTGGAGTATTGTTTATAGTATTAAAAGAAGAATAAAATAGAGAAACAACCTAAATGTTTAGCAATATGTTGTAAATGGTGATGATGTAGCTGTTTCAAAGAATGAACTCATTTTATAGCTGGAAATGAATTCTAAGGCAAAATAAAGAGAAAACCAGTAGTATTTGAGCATTGGCAGAATCCCATAATAACTGTGCATTATGTAATACAGGAAAATTATAAACATTTTGTTTTGCTATAACCCTGTAGAAAAATTTTTGAAAATTTTTTCATTGTTTTAAATTGACCTTTTTTGTCAGATGGCTTAGCGCACAGTAATTTTTTAAAAATAATTTTTAGTGTTTATTCTTGAAGGATGATATGGGATACATAGAGGTAGTAAAAAGGTCCTATTATATGAAGCAAATGAACATATCCATCATCTCACACAATTAGCAATAGTTTTCTTTTCAACAGCAAGACCAGCTAAAATACATTCTTTTAACAGGAATCTCATAAATGTATGTTATTTTAATATTTTTATAGTTTGAACTGATAACACTTAATTTTTCATGAAAAGAGTATTCGGAAGAAACTTCAAAGATTTTGTTAATTTTCAAAGCAGCTGAATAATGTGATATATTTTTACTATGTATAAAGTATTAAGAAAGATGAAGTTTGGAAATTCATATTCTCTTTCTCCACCTTCCTTTCTCTCCCACTTCTTTTCCTTTTATCTTTCCTCTATTCCCTTAGGAACTTTTAACTTTACATATAGAATTTTGAAATTGACTTATTTTTAAAAATTAAACCTAATTTTGTAACTATTGCTGAAAGTAATATGTAAGGAATATTTTCTTTTAGGAGGACATTATAATCTATTTAAGTTTGACTTTTTTTTTTTGGTAAAAATAATAAAATCCAATTGTTATCCTATTTTGTTATAAATACTTTCCTTATTTAAAGATAACTCCTATTTTAATTATTCTGTTTTGCTTTTCAGGAGACTGGAGAAGCTGGCTGGTGGAAGGGTGAACTTAATGGCAAAGAAGGTGTATTTCCAGACAATTTTGCTGTTCAAATAAATGAATTTGATAAAGATTTCCCAGTAAGCTTTTATTTTTTAGACTTAAAAGAACATTTGGCTAATATTGTTCTATTTTGAAAACAAATTTTTGATATTGTCACTGAAGAATTTTTATGAAGGAGTTTTCAGATTTGTATACAGATAAAGTTATTTGAATTATAAAACTATTTTATTCTGAGCCTTATTCCTCCTCTCCCAATTCCCCTTAACACCTGAGTATACTGAAAAATAGCCTTAGACCTTTTTACTTTATATTTACAAAAAAAAAAAAAAAAACTTGGCCATTTTTACTGGATTACTTAGTATTTTCCTGAAAGAAGTTGCTTCATTTAATGTTGAAAATCTTCAGTTCATTTTAAAATGTTGATATTACTGTTAGTCTGTTAGTGTATTTTTGGAAGGGCAAGAAGCAGAGTCTTGGCCTTCTTCTGTGTCACTTCTCTGAATAAAGTGAGACTGAATCATCATCTGTCAGGGGTCTTTTGCCTTTCTATAACTTAATCCTCTTTTTTCCTACGTATGGATGTCTAACTGAGTTTTAAAGTAAAGAGATGGAGAATTAATAGAAGCACACAGAAGGATGGGTGACTACTGTATTTGGTTTAAGCCAACGCAGAACCCTCTAACCTTTGCAATCTTTCATTTAAGTAAATTATTGGAGATTTACTCTATGGAAGCTCAGACTCTCTGAGGGCTTTCTTTTGCCAGATTGAAATTCAGTATTGATTCAACCTTCATATGCTTTATTTTTATGCTTAAGGAATACTTTTTTCTCTGCCTATGTTATGTGCTTATACATTTTTGCTTATCAGTTATTCTTGATTTAGAAAAAACCAAATTCATATACTTAGAAATGTGTCTTAGTTTTTTTAAAGTATTAAATTAAGTCTTAAAATGTGAATAAATGCTTATAATCGACAGAACAGGCCTTTGTCTTCAGCCTTCCCTTTGAGAGTTCTGGAGTTAAGAGTAAACTGTTAAGACTTAGTAGACTAAGTCTGTCTATTGCTGCTTTTTTTTTTTTTTTT